TAAAAAGATGTTGAGACTCTAGAAAAAGTGCAGAGAAGAGCAACAAAGATGATTAGGAGACTGGAGCCTAAAACATATGAAGAAAGGTTGCAGAAACTGGGCATGGCTAATCTAGTGAAGAGAAGGACCAGGGGAGACATGATAGCAATGTTTGAGGGGTATTTGAGGGGCTGTCACAGAGGGAAGGGCGTCAAGCTATTTTCCAAAGCATGTGAAGTCTAGACAAGGAACAATGGATGGAAATTGATCAAGGAGAGATTCAATCTAGAAATAAAGAGGAATTTTCTGACAGTGAGAACAATCAACCAATGGGCTTGCCTTCCGAAGTTGTGGGAGCTTCATCACTGGAGGCTTTCAAGAAGAGACTGGAATGCCATCTGTCAGAAATGCCATCTGTCAGAAATGGTTTAGGATCTCCTCCTTGGACAGGATGTGTGTGTGTGTGTGTGTGTGTTGGACTAGATGACCTACAAGGTTCCTTCCAACTCTATTAATCTGTTAAATTTACCCGAAGGCCCTTCACACTAGCATTTAAACATTACCTGGCAAACCAATATAACTGTTCCTTACATCGCTATAAGATATGTACACGTGTGCATCTCTCTCATACACACACACACAAACACATACAGGGATACATATATGCATGCATCATAGCGCCTCCGTGAGCCTCCATGACGCTCCAGGTGGGCCCTCTGGAGCACCTTACCGGAATGGTATATGGTGCTCGGCAGGCAGGCTCTGGTGCGCCCGCCCGTACTGGGACGTACCACCTGCAACCCACCACTGATGCATGCACATGTGCACTACCTACACACAGGAAAGCTTTCCTTGACTTCCAAAAGCAAGGCCGTCCAATCATTAGCATTTATATAAGAGGATGCCAGAAAAGTAATGGTTCAGCAAAATTCAAAATCACCAAGATTTTTTTCAAGTCGTTCTAACAGAGGAGATACCAGCCTTTGAGTCAGTTTACACTTTGATTTTTTGGCCAGAGAATAAATCGCTGAGCCTACACAACTTTGGTGAAAATTTACTAACTAGATGATAAGAGATTTGTGTGCCGCAGCCACACAAGCGACAGGAGGGAGTTTCATCATACGACCATTCTCGTCCACTCCCCCTTTCTACCTCCATGGAAACATGCTGTGCGATTTGCTTGCTAAAGGGACGGCTTTCAGAAAAGCAGGCTGCCTTGCAAAGCGAGTGAGGAAGCGGGGCTGTCCTCCCTTAACAAGGACAGTTGGCATGTGTGACAGCTGCACAGTGGCCGGGGATTATCTCTCTGGCGCACACAGCCGCTTTTGCGTGGCAGGAAGGAGGGAAGCCAAAGGCAATATCTCCCGGGACTCGCGCTGCAATTTTCGGTGTGTCCGAGAGAGGCCGCCTGAGCAAACAAAAGCCTCGGCTTTTTCTATCAGCAGCTCGGACGAGGTTTCGCACAAAGACGCTTTTCCTTGCCGTTTGACCCAGCCACCCCCGCCTGCACTGAACATCTTGCAATCCTAACCGCGTACCCGCGCAGCAGCTGGTCCCATTTGCTTCAAAGATCGAGGATCAGAGTGTCCTATCCCGGCCGCCTCTCGAGTGCGCTGTGGCCGGCCGGCCTGCCTACCTTCCACCGGTCGCTCACCCCTATTTGCCTGACGCTGCCAGCGGAACTAACAACAGCAAGCTCCCATTTGTAAGCCTTGGCCGAGAAAAAAGAGCCAGTATGTGGCCGGACCACACGGTGGCTTAACGCCAGCAATTACGGGTTCCCGCTCTGGCTCTTCCCTCTCCAGCTGGAAGTGGAGTTGACTAGTGAGCTCGTTGATTGCAAGCGGCTTGCGTGATCGCGCGTAGGATTAGGGCTAGGGGCTGAGTGAGGAAGAAGACGGAGGCGCCATTTGCTGCCGCAACACTCCACCTATCTGGTGTACGAAAGCGAGTGGCAGTCAGGAACCTCCCCTCCACAGGGCACACTGAGGAGGGGAGTGGGAGGGGCGGGGCGGGCTGTTGACAATCTGCTAGGCAGAAACTTACTAGCTCCCGGCCTGGGAAATACGGGTAGTTTCCAGTTTCCAGACATAGTAATAGGAAACTACATGGCGGAAAGTCCTTCCTTAGTCCTATATGAGTTGCAGGCTAGCGCAATTCTTAAAGGACGTGACGACCGCTTGCATTTCCTAGTGGAGACATTAGTTTTAAGATGAGATGGAGGGGATATTGCACCTAATCTCCCCAAAGAGATTGTTTGACAGGACGGTAGATGGGAAGGTAATATACATTCAATAAAAGAGCCGTTTCCCATAAACTTAAATTCTTCTCCGTTTAAAGCAGCGGGGGGTAGGAATCGGATAGCGCTGGGCTGCTCCCCAGCCCCTAATGTTAAATCGAGACCGACTCAGTCAACCTCTCGGCTAATTTCTCATACGCTAATTGAGAGAACGTCTCTATGAAAGAATGCGTCCGACTATGCCTTTAAGCAATCGACGTTGCCTACCTCTGAAACAGGGGAACTAGTAACGAGTCAGGCACATTACGTCAGACTGAGCTTTTTCTAAAGAGAAAAGTGTGGAAATAAAGCTTGAGGCTTTGGTTCATGATGAACGATCCTGGGTTAGAAAGGATGGAGAAGTGTGCTTGAGAAAGAGCCCACCCCCGTCCTTCTCTTTCCCGCGGATTGTGTTGAACTGCCTTGTGTTTTAGTTGGACAGGATGCAGATTAGTTATTAATATTCCGGCTGCATGAGTGCTTTGTCTGTGGATCCCTGAGATGATACATTGAGCTAACAATACGCTGGCAAAAGTTAAGAGGCTTTCCTCTGCAAACATTCTTATTGTTGATACCAAGTTTCTGTGCTCAATAAACAGGAAAAGCTTCAAATTTGAGCCTGCCCACCCACCCACCAATTTATCACTGGTAGGCCAAATGTTTTTCACAATGGTGACTTCCTCTGAAAATCTAGCACTTGAAAGCCACACTTTCCACCCTTCTGGTTTGCTTTTGTTTTTTGTTTGCCAAGAATAAGCTCTCATGTGAATGTTATTCACCATTTGCAAGCAATACAACAGTGATAGCCTCTGACCGAAAGACTAGACAAGTTTGAAGTGACAGGCGCCTGGATGTCCTCACTGCCGCTGCTCTGGAAGGAGCAGATGATTAAGTGTGAGGTGTTTCCTGCTTTCACAGTGGGTTTTGAGCTTGTATTTGTACACCAACAGCATCTTGACTGTAGGTTCAACCTACAAACATTTCTTGGCAAGACAGATAATATGGCTGATTACTTTTGTCTGTTTTCCAATTGTGTTGATGAAACTGAGTGGCAGAAAAGGAAGATTTCATATTTGGAGTTTTGCTTTCTGGAGCTCTTCAGTCTGAGTCATATTTGGTGATCTTCTTAACTAGGCATGCTGGCGTTTTGTTTTGTTTTTCTGTGGTATTCATTAGCAATAGGGTTTTCTATAAGCAATACTTAAAGAGCATTATGCTTCGGAAGATCTCATCAAACTTTAAGAAATTAGGGAGGCATCATTAGTTTATCCACTTCAGTATGAACCCTGAAAAAAATCAGTGTGAATAAAAAGAAAAAAATATTTGAGTCATGTGCCAGTCTAGCATTCAGTTCTCCAGTTTGAGAAATAATGAAATACTTCCTGGGTTGATTGAAAGTAAATTACATATTATTTGCCATAAAGTTAGAGATAGAAACTATTTAAAAACATAAAATGTGGCAGACATCAAGATTATCTGGTAGGTGTCTTGAAAGATGTAAATGGCATAATTGTTAATTTTGACTGTTACTTGTGTCTGAATCTTACTTGCAGAACAGATTATATCCAACTTAACTGGATGCTATTTATTTAAGAATTTGATTGGAGGGCAACTTTGAGTCAGATTTTGATCCAGATAATTTTCTTTTGCTTACAGCACACCTGAATAAAGTACATTAATAGTCTTTTCTTTCTCTTTCCATTTCTAGTCTGTTGTTCAGAAAGGGGATGAGAAACCTACACATTACCACCAACGCAGAGTTTCAGAGTAATCCTTAGGGACCTGATTGTTAATGAGGTAAGTAGATTTGACCTGTAATAAAATATTGTGCTGTCCTGTGTGATATATTGGAATAACTATAACATTAAAAAGAGCAGTAAGCAGCCTTTTCAATCTTCTCAAGCCAAGAGATTCTGATAAATGCTTTAACAGTTTCTGTGTAAAAAATCTGATAGGCCAAAGTCTTTCAAAATTTTGATTTCACTATTAAAAAACATTGGGAATGAGATTGTCTCAGGGTCAGAGTGGCTTCCACTGCAAGATGCATTACCAAAGATGCAATATAATAAGCAGATTTTGCTAGCTGAAATGGGCAAGATCTTCATATATAGGCAAAATAAGGAACATCTGAAACATAGTAGACCAGTGTAAATTCGACTGAATACAATTTATAACTACCTATAGACAAAGAATGGCTCCATAACTGCATCATAGAATCTGATCCACCCTAATCCTTAAAAACTAGTGCCAAAGATTTATTTCCAAGCAAATACAGTAGATTTGCTTATGATTGCAGTCCAGTCTCAATTGAGTTCTGTCTGATGAAGACTTTGATGAGAATTTGAAGCTTAAATCACCTTTAGAAATTTTACTTTCTTTTAAATTAATATCTCATGGGTCAACCCAAACAAGAGTCTATATAAGTAATAAGAAATTGGGGTTCAGATTTCCTAATTGTAAAATCAGGCCAAAAATGAATAAGAAGGCTGGCATGGAGACAATGTAGCTTTCATTTGGAAGAACAAACAGGGTGCTGCAACGTTAATAACTGGGCCTTGCCTGTCTTTTAATAGCTGTTAACGTCAGTGAAGGCACGTGAATAAAGGTGTTGAAAAGAAGTGGAGTTTCGGGGAAGGGGTGCTTTCTTCTTTTTCTCATATGCACCCCCGCGCTTTTTTTCCCACCAGGCAAGGCAGCATCTGCTGTATGTTGCATAACGATCTCTCGGTTAGTCGTTTCAATGCAACCTTATTTGCATCAAAGAAGAAAGACGAATGTTTTTCGGCTCTCCTCGCGAACCCTCCCCCACCCTGCCTCCGAGCCCTGATTTGCAGACTCCTCTGGCGGGAGAGCTCTCCCTAATTACAAGATCTTTTCCAACAGGGGGCGTGTAAACCCAGCAGCAGTTTGACTTCAATTCTGCCTCGGCGACATTTAATAGATTCTGGCAGTGTTTTCACTTACAACCCTTCGTTAGGCAGGGGAATCGGGAATAATTACCCGGCAATAAAATATCTCTCTTGCACAGAACGTCGTGGCGCGAGGTCTTCGCTAGGAGGCTATTACTCTTGTCAATATTTTTAGAGAAATATATTTGATTGTGGTTCCGCTGCCCCTCCTTCCTGCCCTTACACACCTAACAATTAGAAGAACCGGTGCGCACACACGCACGGGCACTCCTGCTGATTCGCACTGATTTCTGTGGTGGCCTTTCAGCTCCGGCAGTCCTTGGAGGAAACCAATTATCTAGATCCCTTCCAGTCGGGATATAGGCCTGGCTACAGCACGGAAACGTCGCGCTGGAGAGCCAGGGATGGAGGTCATGCCTCCGTCCTAGTGCTCCTTGACCTCTCAGCGGCCTTCGATACCATCGACCAT